AGTACCGGATGTACCTGCATCTCAGAGTTGATGTTCACTCTGGGACTCGAACCCAGTACCCTCGCTTCAAACGCCATCGCGTTATCCACTCGGCCACTGAGTCCTGATAGCCACTTGCTTGTGCGATGGGGTGAAGTTTGAATTCACTTAGTATTGTTTGTTTGGATCTTCCCATCGATGTGTTTAGGACTGCAACTGGTCAGTCTCTAATTGGCATATGTGCATACTGTGCGTATTGCCTCGATATACCTTAATTCACAAGCATGGTAAGCAGAGATGGATAGTGGCTAGCAGTGGAATCCAGGACGCGCGTTTCGTCCTATTTGGGACTCGTCCGCTGGATGTACCTGCATCTCAGAGTTGATGTTCACTCTGGGACTCGAACCCAGTACCCTCGCTTCAAACGCCATCGCGTTATCCACTCGGCCACTGAGTCCTGATAGCCACTTGCTTGTGCGATGGGGTGAAGTTTGAATTCACTTAGTATTGTTTGTTTGGATCTTCCCATCGATGTGTTTAGGTCTGCAACTGGTCAGTCTCTAATTGGCATATGTGCATACTGTGCGTATTGCCTCGATATACCTTAATTCACAAGCATGGTAAGCAGAGATGGATAGTGGCTAGCAGTGGAATCCAGGACGCGCGTTTCGTCCTATTTGGGACTCGTCAGCTGGATGTACCTGCATCTCAGAGTTGATGTTCACTCTGGGACTCGAACCCAGTACCCTCGCTTCAAACGCCATCGCGTTATCCACTCGGCCACTGAGTCCTGATAGCCACTTGCTTGTGCGATGGGGTGAAGTTTGAATTCACTTAGTATTGTTTGTTTGGATCTTCCCATCGATGTGTTTAGGACTGCAACTGGTCAGTCTCTAATTGGCATATGTGCATACTGTGCGTATTGCCTCGATATACCTTAATTCACAAGCATGGTAAGCAGAGATGGATAGTGGCTAGCAGTGGAATCCAGGACGCGCGTTTCGTCCTATTTGGGACTCGTCAGCTGGATGTACCTGCATCTCAGAGTTGATGTTCACTCTGGGACTCGAACCCAGTACCCTCGCTTCAAACGCCATCGCGTTATCCACTCGGCCACTGAGTCCTGATAGCCACTTGCTTGTGCGATGGGGTGAAGTTTGAATTCACTTAGTATTGTTTGTTTGGATCTTCCCATCGATGTGTTTAGGACTGCAACTGGTCAGTCTCTAATTGGCATATGTGCATACTGTGCGTATTGCCTCGATATACCTTAATTCACAAGCATGGTAAGCAGAGATGGATAGTGGCTAGCAGTGGAATCCAGGACGCGCGTTTCGTCCTATTTGGGACTCGTCAGCTGGATGTACCTGCATCTCAGAGTTGATGTTCACTCTGGGACTCGAACCCAGTACCCTCGCTTCAAACGCCATCGCGTTATCCACTCGGCCACTGAGTCCTGATAGCCACTTGCTTGTGCGATGGGGTGAAGTTTGAATTCACTTAGTATTGTTTGTTTGGATCTTCCCATCGATGTGTTTAGGACTGCAACTGGTCAGTCTCTAATTGGCATATGTGCATACTGTGCGTATTGCCTCGATATACCTTAATTCACAAGCATGGTAAGCAGAGATGGATAGTGGCTAGCAGTGGAATCCAGGACGCGCGTTTCGTCCTATTTGGGACTCGTCAGCTGGATGTACCTGCATCTCAGAGTTGATGTTCACTCTGGGACTCGAACCCAGTACCCTCGCTTCAAACGCCATCGCGTTATCCACTCGGCCACTGAGTCCTGATAGCCACTTGCTTGTGCGATGGGGTGAAGTTTGAATTCACTTAGTATTGTTTGTTTGGATGCACATATGCCAATTAGAGACTGACCAGTTGCAGTCCTAAACACATCGATGGGAAGATCCAAACAAACAATACTAAGTGAATTCAAACTTCACCCCATCGCACAAGCAAGTGGCTATCAGGACTCAGTGGCCGAGTGGATAACGCGATGGCGTTTGAAGCGAGGGTACTGGGTTCGAGTCCCAGAGTGAACATCAACTCTGAGATGCAGGTACATCCAGCTGACGAGTCCCAAATAGGACGAAACGCGCGTCCTGGATTCCACTGCTAGCCACTATCCATCTCTGCTTACCATGCTTGTGAATTAAGGTATATCGAGGCAATACGCACAGTATGCACATATGCCAATTAGAGACTGACCAGTTGCAGTCCTAAACACATCGATGGGAAGATCCAAACAAACAATACTAAGTGAATTCAAACTTCACCCCATCGCACAAGCAAGTGGCTATCAGGACTCAGTGGCCGAGTGGATAACGCGATGGCGTTTGAAGCGAGGGTACTGGGTTCGAGTCCCAGAGTGAACATCAACTCTGAGATGCAGGTACATCCAGCTGACGAGTCCCAAATAGGACGAAACGCGCGTCCTGGATTCCACTGCTAGCCATTATCCATCTCTGCTTACCATGCTTGTGAATTAAGGTATATCGAGGCAATACGCACAGTATGCACATATGCCAATTAGAGACTGACCAGTTGCAGTCCTAAACACATCGATGGGAAGATCCAAACAAACAATACTAAGTGAATTCAAACTTCACCCCATCGCACAAGCAAGTGGCTATCAGGACTCAGTGGCCGAGTGGATAACGCGATGGCGTTTGAAGCGAGGGTACTGGGTTCGAGTCCCAGAGTGAACATCAACTCTGAGATGCAGGTACATCCAGCTGACGAGTCCCAAATAGGACGAAACGCGCGTCCTGGATTCCACTGCTAGCCACTATCCATCTCTGCTTACCATGCTTGTGAATTAAGGTATATCGAGGCAATACGCACAGTATGCACATATGCCAATTAGAGACTGACCAGTTGCAGTCCTAAACACATCGATGGGAAGATCCAAACAAACAATACTAAGTGAATTCAAACTTCACCCCATCGCACAAGCAAGTGGCTATCAGGACTCAGTGGCCGAGTGGATAACGCGATGGCGTTTGAAGCGAGGGTACTGGGTTCGAGTCCCAGAGTGAACATCAACTCTGAGATGCAGGTACATCCAGCTGACGAGTCCCAAATAGGACGAAACGCGCGTCCTGGATTCCACTGCTAGCCACTATCCATCTCTGCTTACCATGCTTGTGAATTAAGGTATATCGAGGCAATACGCACAGTATGCACATATGCCAATTAGAGACTGACCAGTTGCAGTCCTAAACACATCGATGGGAAGATCCAAACAAACAATACTAAGTGAATTCAAACTTCACCCCATCGCACAAGCAAGTGGCTATCAGGACTCAGTGGCCGAGTGGATAACGCGATGGCGTTTGAAGCGAGGGTACTGGGTTCGAGTCCCAGAGTGAACATCAACTCTGAGATGCAGGTACATCCAGCTGACGAGTCCCAAATAGGACGAAACGCGCGTCCTGGATTCCACTGCTAGCCACTATCCATCTCTGCTTACCATGCTTGTGAATTAAGGTATATCGAGGCAATACGCACAGTATGCACATATGCCAATTAGAGACTGACCAGTTGCAGTCCTAAACACATCGATGGGAAGATCCAAACAAACAATACTAAGTGAATTCAAACTTCACCCCATCGCACAAGCAAGTGGCTATCAGGACTCAGTGGCCGAGTGGATAACGCGATGGCGTTTGAAGCGAGGGTACTGGGTTCGAGTCCCAGAGTGAACATCAACTCTGAGATGCAGGTACATCCAGCTGACGAGTCCCAAATAGGACGAAACGC